ACCCAGGATGGGGAGTCCTGTCTGCTCTTCCTCCTTAGATCCCATTTTTTCCTGGCATTCTCACCACTGCCCTTGAAGTACTTATTATTGCAACCACCCTCCCAGCCTGGGGGGTGCTGGATGGGGTTGCCTTCAGAGTTTGGCAAATACTGTTCTTCAAACTGAAGCTATGGAGCTCGAATCTCCTGCAGGGCAGAGCTGGGAGAGACAAGTGGCATCTACTTATGTAAATGCCTTCATCTGGTGCATCAGAGACCTTATTCCATCAATCAAAAGGAACACAGTGTGGGCAGAAAAGGCTGCCTCCAACAAAAACCAGGAACAGGGCACAGGACTGTGCATCCTGTACAACAAAAGCAGAGTGGCTCAACTTGCTGCCAGCCTGGGGCCTGTAAATGTGAGCAGAAAAACAGAGAAGGCTCATGCTTGGACCACCAGAGCTTCCTGCTTGGAGAAGAGCCTGAGAATCTCCCTGAGTCACAGCAGAAAGAGGTTTCCTTGGCAGGATGTTGGCACCATCCCATGGAGAGCAGGAAAAGGAGAAGGCAGCGTGGCCAGGTCCTGAGGGCACAACAGGCAGCCTGTGCTCCAGGCTCTACCATGAGATCTAGCCCTAAGATTGCCTAAAATTCACTCATGCTTGTGTGATCTGACATTGCTGGTTTCCAGTGCCTGCCACTTCTGCTTCAACAACCTACCTGTGGTAAGGAACATGAGCAATAAACCCCAAAACTTTAAGGTCTCCCTTAGAACTTGAGCATTTCCACAACCACTCTCTCCTTATCTCTTTGCCATTCAAAATTTCACCCAAAATGTCTGAAGCTGTTGAGAGACCACAAATCCCATGTTGTAACCAGTACTGCATGCTTCAAGTTTTCACAACAAAAGCTTAAATTGGCCATTCTTACATTCTAACATTCAAATACAGGCAGATAGTGGCTGCTCTAATGCCACAAAAACCAATTAAAAAACATTTTAAAAGACTTCCAGTCTGCTTTACAGCTCCACAAAACACACTGGCTGCCTCAGCCTGTTTCAACCTTTTTGCAGGCTCTTACTTTTGTTGATTTATTCTCAACACACTCAGTAACCCCTTTTAAATGCACTGCAGACCCTGTAAATTCTTGGCTTGTCCCCATGGAACTCAAGGATTGCAAATGCTGGCGATGGACCTCACAGCCCACAGGTACAGCATAAACTCATAAAGCTCTCAGGCATCCCCTGTGGTCCCTTAAGGTTGTTAGGGCTTGTAATTACTGTCTCCAGAGTTCCAAAGGGTCACAGGTATGGTCCTCACACCACCTTTCTCCTGGATTTTATCCTTCTCTGTTTCCTACACAAAAAAAAAAAACAGTCTTTAATATTCTTTATAGACATTTTCCTCCCTGGCAAAAACACACGTGGCATACTCAAAAAGTTTATTCCTTTCTCCAAAAATCTTTCCTTCAGATTTTGAGCATTTGTATATTGTTTAAAAAAGTTCTTTCCCTCCCTTCTTTTATCATAGAAAGTAATTTTTTTTCCTCTATCTTAATAATATCAGTCTTTCAACAGCAGTAACTGTACATGTTCTGAAAGCTATCTTGTAGAAATGAAAGCTAAGCAGTGTAAACTTAGCTGGAAAAAAAGGAGAATCCATCTACACTGCTCTAAAAAACCCAAACCAAACCAAATCCCCCTATCACCAGCTTTTCCCAATAAAATTTAAACCCCAACCTTTCTCATTTGATAGTTTTCATGTTTAAATTTGTTCAAAGAAATCAAAAGAATCCAATTTTTCCACTTTCCAGAAACACTTGGAACAGCTCTCTATATATTCCCACTTCTTCTTAAGAGCTAATAAACTGGATTAATTTTTTTTGAGGTCTCTAAGTAGAAGAAAAGCTGAATAGAGACTTAAAAAGAACCCTTCTGAACCTCACACAAAGCTTGTATTTCACAAGCTGACTTGCAGCAGAAATGTCACAAATACAGCTCCAAAGACTTTTTTTTTTTTTCTCAAACTTTATCTGGGAAGGTTTTGCAAACTAGGCACTGAACAATAATTCTCTTTACACCACTAAAATTCTACTTACAGATGGGAAAGAGGGGGATAGAATTTCCTTAGTGTAAATGCTGAACTGGAGCCTGCCAAACGCAGCTGAGGCTGGGCTGGATGTTTTAAAAGTTTAACATTCAAAAGCTTTGGTTTGTTTTCTGCTCTGGAGAAAAATGGCAAAATCCATGGCTTGTTATGGAGCACACGAGACACAGATTGTATCTGCACAGCCCAAACTGGGCAAAGCCCAGCACTAGAACACATTCAACCCCAAAGCCAGGGGGTCCTACCTTATTTCTCTAACATCCATAATACAAAATGGCCACATGTCCTTGCTCTTCCCCATGCTACCTGTTTTTGCAACAAATCACAACTATATTTTAAATTTATAGGCATTTAATCTCAATTAACAGCCTTCATTTTCCATCTAAGACATCAAGGAGATTCCTGCACACTGCTGCACCAGGCTGAACACCAACTCCAGCAGCACACCCAGACGACGAGCAAAGTCAAATTTGGTTTATAGCCTTTTTTTTTCTCCTCCCTCCTTCAATATTTTTTGGCCTGACACAGATGTGTCCTGCCAAAACCTCTCCCCACTGCACTATCACTCCACGAGCTACTTCACACCTCCCATTCAACTCTGCTGTGGAGCCAAATCCATCCCAGCACCGCTGGTATCCAGCACGTGACAGGACAGAATGTGTCCCTGGACATTAGGAGAGGCCAGGAGATGTCAGGGGTGAAGCAGCTCCGTGAGATGTTAGGGGTGAAGCATCTCTGTGGTAAAAACAATGCTCAGCTGTGCAGCCCCTTCCATGCCTGTCCCTTCATTGAATCCAGATGCCACAAGTTTCTCAGCTTTGTAAGTATCTGAGAGATGAGGATGTGGAGTAAAATGTGCGAGGTGAATGAATCACAGACTTGGGTGGGGAGAAGTTCTAGCTAGCCAGAGTGGTGTGGAGGAAGAATAAAGAGGAAAAGGTGCCTGGTTCTATGCCCATCCTTTAAAGCAATGAGGCCAACTCCTGGTGTTTTAATTTTAGTGTAGGAACACTGAAAAAGGAGGTAACAGAACTTCTCAGGAGCTGAGCACGCTCACAGAGCCTGCTGGACAGCAGCTAAGTCTGGTGACAAAACAACACCCTCCTCAGCCAAGGCACAGGACTCACCACCTTGTCCCCACACAAAGCAAACTGGTCTCCTCAGATACATCCTTGCACAGCACCTAAGAGTCAGGCAGGAGTGCAAGAGGAGCTGCTGGGCAGCTGGCTCCCCTCCAGCAGGGCACCAGCAATGCCTTGCATGCCAGGCACGGGGGGTTTGCTGCTCCTGGGGCTCGCTCCTGCACAACCACAGGGTTCAGGGACACAATGAGGGTGTCCTGCTACTCTTGAGAGATGTCACAACGGTAGGTAGAAAGATCAGAAGTGGTTTGCTTCAGGAATAGAGAAAAACTGATTTATAAAATATCACCATTTCTATAGGGCCATCTGCAGTGGAGGAATAGGAGGTTCATCTCTGCACCAAGCACTGCAAATTCAGCCCCAAACCTGAGGGCTCAAAATGTACTGAAACTCCAATTTCCTTCAGCCCCCCAAAACATCTTGCTCTCCATCACTGTCTTTAGCTGGGACACAGGCACATGCCCACATTTAAAGTCTGCAGTGCTGCTTGTTAGTCTGGATTGTGTTTCTGAGAAGCAATTGTTTTTCTGAGTTATTTGGTATGATGCTGCCTACAGCTGGGTCAGAACAGTACCAGCACAGTGCCCCAACACACCAGTTTTGAGAGACATTCACTTTCAGCCTCTCTTCCCTCTCCCAGGAGCACTATTTCTATACACATGTATATATACACTGTGCATGTGTATACTTGCACTGCAAGAGCTGACAACAGAGAGGAAAAATAGAATCACAGAATTGTTTTGGTTGGAAGAGACCTTTCAGATCGTACAGTCCAACCCTTCCTCCAGCACTGCCAGGTCCCCACTGCCCCGTGTCCCTCACCCCACATCTCCACGGCTTGGAAACCCCTCCAGGGATGGGGACTCCACCACTGCCCTGGGCAGCCTGGCACTGCTGTGGGGAAAACATTTTTCCTAATATCCAATATATTCTGTGTGTTGCTATCACACCACCTACACTGCTGTGGCTCAGCTTGTGCTCAGCTCCACCTTCAAAACAGAGCAGGATGCTGCTTGGCTCCTCAGCACTCTCACAACACCTCACACCAGTGTGCACACAGAGTTAGGAGCAGAAGAGCAAGTTAATTCCAGATTCACATTTCTGTGTGTGCTAATGCCTCTACACTGGTAAAGACACACAAAAGGCTTTAAAACGTGACACAACAGTGATTCCCATCAATGTTCACCATCAGCTGGGTAAGATGCATGCTGAAGAAGTTCTGAGATAAATCATGAAAAGAACTGCTACACTAAGACCAGCAAAATGACCAACCACAGGCATTAACTCCCAACTGAATTTGTCAATGTAATACGCCTCCCACAAACATCAATTTCACTCAAGATACTTAAAATATGATAAGCTATTAGGCAGCATTTCACAAAGTGGCTATCCCCACGTGAGTAGATGTGAATCTGTGGGGCTCCACAGGCTGCCTCTGGCTGTGTGTCTGCTGTGTCCCTGTGCCTGCACCCCCAGCCAACAGCTCGGCACAGAGCCCGAGCAGGCATGTGGCCCTGGGCTAATCACCCTGCAGCTCGCCACAAACTCCAGCCAGGATTATTTGCTTAACAGATTCCTTCTTCTCCCCTCGATGCTCCTGTTCTCAAAATGAGCTGGTGGTGGTACCACAGACAGCATCCTTTTGAGGACTGAGGGAATGGAGGAGTGGATAAATCCCCGCACGTGTCGTATGCAAACATCACGAGGCCGCGTTGCCAAATGTAACACAACAGAGTCTGCAGAAAGGGGTGTGGGCAAAAAACACAGTTATTTACCTGACAGGAGATCTGCACCAGGTAGACCAGTTCCTTGGATTCACAGCCGTTCCTGGTTACCTCATTCTGTTCCTCTGGGAGTGAAAGCTGCACCCAGGGAGTCGGGAGGGGTGGAGGAAAGAGAGAGAGAGAGAGAAAGACCAGGTCAGTGAGCAGGGATAAGCCAGGCATGTAATAATGCATCAGGCACAACATTCACATCGACTTGCTCCAAGACATGCTGAGTATCAGGGAATTGGGGAAGCGTTTGTCTGCCTGGAGTTGTCAGACAGAAAATATTCAGCATTCGTGGCTTACACCCACCCTCGAATGCTGCTGGATCTTGACATCACACCTGGTAGTTTAAAAATAAAAATAGGGTTCAAAAATAAAGCAACCACAGGAAGGCAAACTGTTCAAGCTGGGGATTAAACCTCTAGCCTAGAAGTCTGCAGAATTAATTTCACTCTGAAAATATCTCTATAAATATTCATGTATCGGATAACGGTGAATCCCCCTCCAGTTTTATTCATTTTTTATTTTATTTTATGTTCAGGCAGACATTAGATAATAAAACGCATCTCCCAATTTCAGCATTGTCAAGCAATTTAGCACAACAGAGCTCTTTATGGAACCATTCATCACACACAGAGTCATTAAACACAACATCAGGATGTGCTTTTTTCCCGAGCAGCAAGGAGAGATTTAACCATGTCGTTGCTGCAGGTGTACCAAGTGCCATGACTAGTCCTACCACTAGTCCTACTAGTCCTACCACTAGTCCTGCTACTCCCACTAGTCTTGATAGGCTGCATTTAAAGTGGATTCGTGATCTCCTCTGGAAACAGAAGCTACAAACTGATGATAAGCAATCAAGACTGTTTGCAAGCACACAAGAAACCAAAATGTCTTCCAAAAAGCTGTTATAGAATAGAAGGAGATCTTTATCCAGCCCCAGGAAGAGAAAACCATGAAATATTCCCTGGACAGGATGAGGTATCTCCACCTCTCTGCACACCCCCTGCCCCATCACTGCTGTGTTTACTACTTAGATGATGGACATTAAATTGTACAGTGGCAGCACCACTGCACATGCCAGAAGAGTTATTAGGTCCTTTCTTAAACAGAAATGATGTTAGCAAAAATAGAAGGTGCTGAAGAGTAGTCCAGGACTTTTGACACAAAGGTCTTCTGGAACAATTCCTCTCTTGGAAAATGTGTGCATAAAAACATTAAGTCTGTAAAACAATCATAATTAAGACCACAAAAACCCAACCACAAATGAAAGGAGAAACTAAGACAGAGCACAAAAATCACAGATTGCTGTATTTGCATGGACATAAGCAGGAGAAAATCAGAACCTCCTGAGGAAGAGGGAGGTGCCAGACAAAATTTACTTACATATAAACGACTGCAGGTACCCAGAGTGAACTTAACTTTGCATTTTGCTGGTGTCTCTCTCCTCTTTGCAAGGACAATGCAGAGCACACAGATTCAGCACTCGTCCCTCACCAGCCCTAGCTTCCTGAGTCCTGATTTCATTTCTGATGAGTGTATACAGGACTGTAGATAATGATTTCTGGACAAAAGTCTTTGGATTTCTATATTTTATTATATTTTATGATTCCTATCAGAAATCAAGTTTGCACTTTGGGGCTTCACTGTTGCCTAACAGTGTAGAGCAGTTAAAAAATCAAATTGTACCTGACTGGGGAAATCTAGTAACCTTTTGCTGAATCTGTTCTTTACAAAACTAGGACATAGAAAAGTCTTAAAACACTGTGCAAGTCCTCGAAGGTGAAATCCCCTCAGTGTCACCTCCATTTGGACACTATGGTTGCTCCATCATAAAGCACCTCTCTAGAAAAGCCATGAAATGTCTCCCTTGGTTGCTGCTGCAGCTTCTCCTGTACCACTTTCTCAGCACACTCTTTTTCAGCTTCTGGACAGACTCCTGTTCCACCTATAAATCCTCCCTTCAAAGCAAGCTTTCTTCTGTAAAGCTTTCCAGGGAGAACTTTAAGGGTTTTCACACACGCTCACCTTCTCCCATAAGGTTGGTGCATGACATAGTCCCAGAGATAAATCTTTCTAACTGCTGCAGAGGATCTTTCACGTGGTGAGCTTAATTCCACTAAAAAAACCTGCCTTCCAGAAAGAGGCAGTTTTAAAGATTTGTAAAAGTGACTTTTCTCTGAGTGTAACAGGCTGTGCCTGCTGTCATTAATGTGATTAAATACAGCCATTATTTATTTCTGTATTGCACCTTCCCCACACACACTTTATCATCAGTCTTTGCTGTAAGTTTTCACATTTAAAGTGCTACTGAGTTTTAAAACTAACTCAGAGTCAAGGAAAAACAAAACAACAAAGCATGAAGTGAAGGAAAGCTGGAGATATTTTCCATGTTTGCCAGGTACCAAGGAGCTCCAGTTCAATTAAATGTGTGTTTCCTACTCAAGGAGAAAAGTTTCCATCCTTTAATTCTTCCTATTATTTAGGGGACACACACCTACTCTATCAATCCACAATGACATTTCAGGCCTTGCTTTTCTTAAGTGTATTGGTGCTAAAGCACATCAGGCTCCACATCACTCAGCAGGCTGCATTTATCATAGAATCACAGAATGGTTTGGGTTGGAAGAGACCCAAAAGACCATCTCATTCCAACCCCCTGCCATGGGCAGGGACACCTCCCACTAGAGCAGGTTGCTCCAAGCCCCATCCAGACTGGCCTTCAACACCTCCAGGGATGGAGCATCCACAGCTCCCCTGGTCAACCTGGGCCAGGGTCTCACCACCCTCACAGTGAAGAACTTCCTCCTCACATCTAGTCAAAATCTACCCTCCCACAGTTTAAAGCCATCACCCTCATCCTGTCACGACAAACCCCTGTAAAAAGTCCCTCCCCAGCTTTCCTGTAGGCCCCCTTTAGACACTGAAAGGTCACAAGGTCTCCCTGGAGCCTTCTCTTCTCCAGGCTGAACCACCCCAACCCTCTCAGCCTGGCCCTCCTCTGGACCTGCTCAAACAGGTCTGTGTCTCTCTTTTGTTAGGGGCTGCAGATGTGGACCCAGCACAACTGATGGGGCAGAATCACCTTCCTTGACCTGCTGCCTGCACTGTTTTGGGAGCAGCCCAGGACACAGTTGGCCTTTTGGGCTGATGAGCCATCATCCAGGCATTGGAAATGCCAACAGATGCAGGCAGCAGCTCCCTAAACAGAACCAAGGCCTGATTCTGTGCAACACAATGCAGGGTCATGTTAAGACAAAGGTGGAACTGCATCACCTCTCCTCCTCCACATGCTGTCATTGACACCAGGCTGGACTCCAGTCAAGCCAAGTCTAGGCACCATCTCTCCAGAAATAGCAAGTGAATCATCTGTAGGTGTGAGGTCCCACAAAGTTACAGCAAACTTTGCATCTGCAAGCGTGTATCTACCTGAGGATTAACAGACAGATTTATAGCCATCCACTTTACACCCACAAAATTAGTTTCCACTGCAGTGCTTCCAAATGTCCCAGTTTAGACCAACTCCCTGTAGTGAGAAGTGACATTTTAAGTCCATGGTATTGCCCTAGATACATGCAACTGTTATGTCTGGGTGAAGTTGTAACCAAACAATTATTTTACACAGAAAAACAATTGGTTTTGATTAGACCAATTGATCTAATAAAGTTGGTCCAATTGGATAAGACCAATAGTGGTCTTATCCTGTAATGTGTCTGTCCTCACAACAAAACACCCTGGAAGATGAATATTAGCTCATGGTCCCTGTGTGGAATAATTTTAGTTTTGTTCTGTTAATGGACATAATATTCTTTCAATTTAAAAGCCTTTCCATCTCTTATAAACCAAATATCCTAGAAAGTACCAGTGCAGCACCTGAGGCTGACCTGAAATCCAGGAAGCACAAAGCAAAAATGTCTCTTTGCCGTAGTGGACTCTGAACGTGACTCACAGGCAGAATTTGGTTTACTTCAAACTGAGCAATTGATTTTCATCTTCTTAAAAGACAGACCAAGGACAGCAGGGTCTCAAGGATACCCCTGTAACACTTCCAATGTCTATCATCTGAGATATCTGAAAATCTGTAAATAGTATTTACAGTAACTGATCAGAACATTAGGCAGCATACGTTACCTTGATTTTTCATCTGAAATGTTCATTTTTCACATTCAAATTAGCTGTCAAACTTCCTGAACATGATAAATAATTATGATAAACAGTAAGATGCAGTACGTTCTGTTTGGTTCATTTATTACTGAAATATGCATGCTTAGCTAGCATGTGTAGATAGGACTTAATAAATCAGGTTTACGGCATCTTAAGCTTTTCCGTGGTAGAATTTTATGTCACACAAAGAAAGCCTTAAAGGTGGTCCACGACCACAGCCCACTCTAACAGGTGCATGGGTGAGGCAGGGTGCTGTAAACCTCACATCAACTCCTCACAAAATGGCCTGGAAAAAAAAAATGGGGAACTATAATAAACGCAACAGCAGCAAAGAGTTCCAGGAGCAGGAGGCCAGGGGAAAAAGCAATCAGGATCTCATGGCATCACCACTAACAGTTCACCTTGGTATCTTGAAAGACAAAATTAAGTCAGGTACCTTGCTCATATATAATATTGCCAAAAAGAGCAGGGCAAGCTAGGCAAGACTTCACTCATCCTATATGCAGGCAGGACTAGCTTAAAAGTGCTTCTAGTTCATGTGGTCTTCTGAATGTCTGAGAAAAAGCAGCTCATCCCTGTCAGCTAGCAGACAAAGACAGTGATTACAGGAGTCTCCTGCAGAGGAGAATTTATTGATTACCCCTCTTGCAGAGATAAACAGCCACAAAGTGAACAGGGGGGTATATAAATTATGATATGACACATTCAGAAGCCTCACTCGTTTCCCAGGGTACAATTTTGTGCATGTGCATTTATCACTAACATGAACCAAACAGACACTCTCATCTCTCCTCTCCAAAGTGGCTTTGGAAACCAACAAGTCACACTCTTGTGTGCTCCTATTACAAGCTACAAAAACTTTGAAAAATCCATTCAATGAAAAGCACTACATAAAAATGTTGCCAAGACCAGGATTGTTGGCTCCTAAAGTGCCAAATCCTTAGTTAAATTCCCCTGAAAATGAGACACTGCTTTGGAGCCAACAGAGAGCTCAAAAGTCTACAGCTTGTGCATTACTGTATTTG